ACAGCCAGGAGAGAAAGCAGGAGGAAAGACGGCCAGGAGAGAGAAAGGAGAGACAGCCAGGAAAGAGAGTGAGGAGAGACAGCCAGGAGAGAGAAAGGAGAGACAGTCAGGAGAGAGAAAGAGGAGACAGCCAAGGAGAGAGAGCAAGGAGAGACATCCAGGAAAGAGAGTGAGGAGAGACAGCCAGGAGAGAAAGCAGGAGGAAAGACAGCCAGGAGAGAGAAAGGAGAGACAGCCAGGAAAGAGAGTGAGGAGAGACAGCCAAGAGAGAGAAAGGAGAGACAGTCAGGAGAGAGAAAGAGGAGACAGCCAAGGAGAGAGAGCAAGGAGAGACATCCAGGAAAGAGAGTGAGGAGAGACAGCCAGGAGAGAAAGCAGGAGGAAAGACAGCCAGGAGAGAGAAAGGAGAGACAGCCAGGAAAGAGAGTGAGGAGAGACAGCCAAGGAGAGAGAGAAAGGAGAGACAGTCAGGAGAGAGAAAGGAGAGACAGCCAAGGAGAGAGAGCAAGGAGAGACAGCCAGGAGAGAGAAAGAAGAGACAGCCAGGAGAGAGAAAGGAGAGACAGCCAGGAAGGAGAGTGAGGAGAGACAGCCAGGAGAGAGAAAGAAGAGACAGCCAGGAGAGAGAAAGGAGAGACAGCCAGGAAAGAGAGTGAAGAGAGACAGCCAGGAGAGAGAAAGGAGAGACGGCCAAGGAGAGAGAGCAAGGAGAGACAGCCAGGAAAGAGAGTGAGGAGAGACAGCCAAGAGAGAGAAAGGAGAGACAGCCAGGAGAGAGAAAGGTGAGACAGCCAAGGAGAGAGAGCAAGGAGAGACAGCCAGGAAAGAGAGAGCAAGGAGAGAAAGCAAAGAGAGACAGCCAGGAGAGAAAGCAAAGAGAGGCAGCCAGGAGAGAGAGTGAAGAGAGACAGCCAGGAGAGATAGTGAAGAGAGACAACCAGGAGAGAGAGTGAAGAGAGACAGCCAGGAGAGAGAGTGAAGAGAGACAGCCAGGAGAGAGAGTGAAGAGAGACAGCCAGGAGAGAGAGAGTGAAGAGAGACAGCCAGGAGAGAGAGAGTGAAGAGAGACAGCCAGGAGAGAGTGAAGAGAAACAGCCAGGAGGGAGAGAGAGTGAAGAGAGACAGCCAGGAGAGAGAGAGAGTGAAGAGAGACAGCCAAGAGAGAGAGTGAAGAGAGACAGCCAGGAGGGAGAGAGTGAAGAGAGACAGCCAGGAGAGAGAGTGAAGAGAGACAGCCAGGAGAGAGAGAGTGAAGAGAGACAGCCAGGAGAGAGAGAGTGAAGAGAGACAGCCAGGAGAGAGAGAGTGAAGAGAGACAGCCAGGAGAGAGAGTGAAGAGAGACAGCCAGGAGACAATTATCTAGAAGTATGTGTTTGTAGATTGTCATTACTAAACATTTCTAAAGGTGTGTTTGTTGTGATTTTGAAGATAAGGGTAAAGTTCCTCTTTAAGTACCTTACTCATAGTGGCCCCTAGCTGTTCATCAGATTTTGACTCACCTATAGTAATTAATGGGGCTACGTGCACTAAAGAGAGTCAGGTTAGGTGTGAATTAGGGATGCATCGATACTAGTAACGGTATCGATACCGAGTATTTGGGCGAGTGCTCGTACTTGAGGGACATTTCCAGCCAATCAGTTTCAAACCGGCCAAACAGAATGGAGCCGGCTTCCCGGCCAATCAGGAAGCCGGGCAGCGGGTAATGACACGCCTCCTGGCTTCCTGGAAACCAGGTCAATGCTGATTGGCTGGGAAAAAAAGTAGTAGATAATTTCACCTGCAGGCTGAACAAAAAGGTCAAACAGATTCCTGGCAAATTTCCCATTGTGGCCACTGTACTTTGACAGCTGTTGCCTGCTACTGTCAAAATACACAAAGTGATTGCGACTGATCAGCCTTTCATTTTATATAGCATAGCAACACACTTAGGAAGCATACGCTTATTGACTTCAATGTGCTACCTTAATTGAACACACGTTTACGTGCGGCATAACATATGTGCCTTACCACAGAGCACAAAAGGTATTGGACCCCTATTGGACTATTAGTATTAGTCCCCGTTCACACCTAGGCATTTTGTCACTCAAAGGTAAGCATGACAAAACTCTGATGACAAGGACTCCCATTCCTTTCTATGGCCCCTGCTCACACATCAGCGTTTTGTCACAAGCAGAAAAACGCCCGTCGCTGGAAAAAATACGAGCTACTTTTTGGCAGATTACAGAACTTTTTGGTCCCATAGACTTGTGACATGTGACCACCCGCCCAGCTTCTTGATTGGATAGGAAGCCGCAGGAACGCTCCCTCACAGCTTCCCAGGCACCGAGAAATGCAAGTGCTGCTGTGCTCTGTGTTGTGGAGCCGGTGTTTTGTCGAAAACTCAAACTCGTCGAGATCTCCAACTGGTGACGTCACATCCGGTGACTTGCCAGTAACAGATTTACAGCGGATGGCTCTGGTGCATGTGCGGCAGCCGTGGCAGTGTTAGAAAATTCATCGAGTTACTGAGCTCTGTCACTGCGCCTGCGCGGCTTCACAATCCCCATCAAGTCCTCAAACCTCTGTTAGTGAATCTGCCGGTCACCCAAAAGCGCTCCCAAGCGATGGCAAAACATGTAATCTCTTAGCATGTTGTGCCATCGAATGGGCACAGGCGCACTAACACTATGTAGAGGACTCGATTCTGCTTTTCGATGAACACGGGGCGGGGGGGGGTTGGAGAACTTGATGGAAATTGTGAAGCTGCCCAGGTGCAGTGAGGAGAGTTCGATAACTTGATCGGGATCCGGACAGTGTCAGGGCTGGCGCGCGCACCAGCGTCATCTTGTCTTAATCTCTTAGGCCCCGTTCACATTGAGCGATTTATCGCGCGGTAATTTCCGCGATATCGCTCTCCAATGCTTGGCAATGGGTCCTGCGTCGCTACAGCAGGACCCTTTTTGGAGCGGATTTTGCCGCGATTCCAGCTTGCTCAATGCAAGCATTTGCGCGCTATCGCGCAAAGTTGTCGACAGAACACCAGTCACAGAGAAGTCTTTGTGGTCTCTCCACGCACTGGGAGACTAAAAACAGGGTGCCTGCTGCTGCAGTTTCAGTGTTGCGCTTGGGGTGGTTATGGTTTACCCAGGCACACCCTGTGCGCACAACTACAGTTATACCAGCCTATGAAAAGTTAAATTAAAAAAATAAATCAAATGTACAAACCAAAGCCGAAATAACATTACACAGACACATGGCTGGTGTGCAGGTATATACAATGTATAAAGTGACGCATACATAGCAGCCATGATAGTGCTGACTGAGCCTTCCCCAGCCTGGGAACACAGAGCCCTGACGCACCACGTGATATCAGCACTCTTCCCCAGGCCAGGCGGGAAGAACCGCACACGTGAGACTCTGGCGCTCTGTTATTGGGGCGGGTTCTCAGGGTCATGTGACTGTTGAGCGCTCTGTATAAAAGAGGCGGGGCGCGGGAAGACTCAGTCAGTATTGAGCGCCATCGGAAGCTAGGTTTCTGGAAAAGTGCATAATAAGGTGGGTTAGCGCACCGTCTGCCTTGTATGTTGGTTATTGTCGCATAGGATGGCCGTGGGTGCCATTATGTGTGGTGATAGATACGCTTTAATGCAAACGCACGAGACTGGGTAGTTTACTGCGAGGTCTAGACCAGGCTATAACCAGAACTACAGTCCGTGTGATTGTGAGGCCTGCGGCCGGTGTGAGCGTCGAGCGGAGGTCACAGCATGAGCGGGAGGTTTCTAAACTGCTGTTAAGACCAGACGTGTGGATTGGTAGAGCGCATCGATGTGTTATTGAGCGGTCGCAACGTATGTTATTTGCATCTAGCCCTTCATACTACATGGCTGTGTTGTGTGTCACGATCCTTCCGGACTTGGGATGGATCCGAATGTGAAGGATGTTGACCGGCTACTTTAAACGAATGTCTATTGCCGTCCTGTGCTGGCAAGCATGGTCATCCGGCTTTGACTTGGTGCCATACCTCCCCATTTGAGAAGGTGACTACTGTGCGTGTGAATGTGAAGATTTTACTTGTTTGTGCCTGACGTGATCATTGATAGCAATGTCTATTGGCTGTGCAGGTCTCCAGCTGCAATGGCATTGTAAGGCAAAGGGATCCATCTCCAAGCATGAGCCTGTAATACTCATCCAGATTAGGTGATCTCTCTGGGGAGTGGCGGTGCAATGGTTTTGGAGGGAGACTGGTCGGCATTGTAATGCCAACATGCAGGTGTATGTGCTCAGTCATTTGTATTGTGAAAGCTGGATGATCAGCCTCGATATCAAAATGTTATCGAGCCATGTTTGTATTTTTATAGTGATAAAGGTTTCACTGAAGTTCCTTCTGAGGATTTTTTAGATGTTTTGTAACCTGTATCTTGTCTATTTCCTGCATCTGGGCAATGTCAAAAGTTTTAACTACATAGAGCTGTGCAGTGTTCTAAGATCTCTCATAGTAAGACTTCTCTGACTTGTGGCACAGCAGTGACGTGTGCTAGTGTAGATGGCAGTGCTGCCATTCAGTAATCCTCAGTTTCGGAATACATTTCAAGATGAAAATTGTATATTTATGGCTGTGTCCTATGAGAGGCACATGTGGATGATTAACAATAGATCTGTTGCTTTAAAGTACACTTTGTGGCAAGAGCAATGGAGTTGTCAGTCCTGACTCCCCTTCTAATGGTGCTGGCTCTAGGCATTCATCTTGATTTTTGGTACATACTGAGCAAAAGACCGCATAAGATGGAAGGTTTAACGAGTTGCTCGCTTGTTCTAGGTAGTAAGCTCGGTCAGTATGGTCCAATTTGCATCTTTAAAAGTCATCTATGGCAGCATTTGTGTCCATGGTGCGCCAGTGAAAAATCTGCTTTGTGTGCTCCTTTTAAGAAAGATCCGTCTTGCATTCAAGTAATGTCATTGTCACAATCTCTTGGCTGGCATGCATTGACAGGGTTTTAACTTTGTTTTCAGGTTTGTCAATATGAATCCGAGTATGAAACAGAAATATGACTCCGATAAGCCTGCAATGTCTATCAAGGTAAGCATCCACTAATCCAAACTATCATTTGCAAAACTTGAAAGAGTTGGAATATCTGTTTTGCCCGTTGGGTTTGATGCCACTTTTTTTAGAGAATGCCATGCGTGTCCTGTAGTAATAAGACAAACCATGTCATAGCTTCCTCAAAACCCTGCCTGTGACACTGTACAATGGTTCTGTCATAGGACCGCTTTCCTTAGGACTTTGCCCTAACATGGATTTGTCTACTGACTACAGGGGCATCTAAAAAGCATTTTTGTTTTTTAAATGTTCCGATGCATTGAGGTTTCTGTGTAGATCTATGTGAACTGCCAAGGGTTAAGTAGATGACGAGTCAGAGTTCTTATTAGCTAGTAAGATTTTCCCATGAGATAACCTTGTACAGTTACTGGTCATACGAGCCTGTGGTGTCAAGTGTTGCAATTTGAGAATGTGATAATCCATAACTTTAAAGCGTTTGGAATAATGGCTGAAATGTTTAACAGTGCAGGTTCCCATAGTCGGCCGTTCCATTGATTGACAGGCTGATAATAACCTGCAGTAAAAGCGGACCGTGGGAAAGTTAAGTCGTGTCGTACAGTTTGTTTCAGTAACTTTCTCACGCTGCTCCTAGGGCTGCACATTTCTTACCTGTGTGGTCATCTGGCCCTGTTTGCTATAGCAAGGTGGCGTTGTAGATAACATTATAGAATCCGATAATAACTCTAATCCCCTTGTTTACTTTGCCATAAGTATATTGATTAAAGCTTTTGGCACAATGAGCTGTCTAGGCTAAAGAATAAACTTAGCTTTGAGTTGTCCTGGAGTAATGTACATGTGTGTGTATATAGGAAATGTAACTTGAAGGCTAATAACATTGAACTTTTATTTTTTTAGAACTTCTTTACAGATAAAACGGATGCTACTCAAAGGAGGACACTTAAAGTCATTCAGCCTTCTGCCACTGGTCAACTTGTTGGTCGTGTCAAAGAGGTATGTACACATGAGCGGGTGCAGACTGCTTATAGATTAATCTGCTAGAAATAAAGGAACTGCCGCGGCAGTTGGTGGTTGAAGATTTAACTGGAGCAGGCAACATGAGGTGGCACAGGACCTGGTACACATTCTTGTTTGGGGCAGTTGCTAACCAAATGGGTATGACTTGCCCTTGAAGCCTGCATTAAAACCTATTAAAATGAGTTATGAGTTGTAGCTCACATGGTTCCTTTTACGTATGCTCTTTGGCTACAGTTGTAGGCTTCCTTATTCTGATAGTGGCAAAAAAGCACCTAGATAGCCTTCCAAACACCTGGGGCACAGTACAGAGGCAAATGGCATTAAAAAAAATGACCCAATGCTACACGAGCAGACGTGTTGGTAGAAATGCCTTGTTTCTAACACTGCAGTATGGCAAGAGCCTTGCTTGGTGGTCTCCAGACGAAAAACAACCATTCTTTTGCATGGCATCTCAAACAGATGCACCTCCCTAACTTCCATTAAAGTCACTTTAGCAGTCTTCAATGGTGGTCATGGCAGCAGAGTGAACAAAGATAAGTGTCCTTTTTGGGACCATTGCTTGTATATTGCCTAAAAATGGTCTACTTTAGGCATGCAAGATATTTTTGCCCTCTAGACACAGCTTGTAGGGTCTTCATATGAACATCAGAACCAGGTCTTCTGTAGGTATGTGTATTCATCAAGATGCAATCTTTTGTTTTTGTAGCCTGGAAAGAACTCCACCAAAAGGAAGCTGTGGAATGACCAAGTGACACTGAAAAAAGCAAAGGTGGAAATCGCTGTGGACCCAGAACAAAGGGAAAATGCCAACTGTTCGAATGAAGCTTATGGGCTCATGGTTAGAGGTGAGTCTTGGCTGCCCTGATGTACGGACCATTTGCAGTAGACTGTCTTGTTGAAACTTCACATGTTAAGCCTGGCAGTTGTAATATATTCCTTTTTACATTCTCAGAAACCCCCTCCAACCAGTACTGGAAGGAGCTTGCAGAAGAAAGGAGAAAAGCACTGTATGAAGCTTTACAAGAAAATGAAAAGGTAACGACTTGCCTTTAACATGAGATAAAATTAGGCTCTTGGGCGGGTGGTATGTCATTCTCAATTTAACACCCTTTTTGGCTGGCACTGGCTTAAATTGTGCTGTGTATGGTAAATGGCCTCTGATGCAAGTCTGCCTTACAGAGGAATATTTGTAGCAGCTAGCCTCTATAATAAATCTGAAGTTGTGATTTTTGGAGGGAGTCATTCCTGAGGTTAATCCTCTGCTGGTATAAAAGCACTGACTGTAAGCCTAGCAATGCTAAAATAAAAGGGATCTGTAAGGCAACTGCATGAGGCCATTCCCCTTCCGATCACACACTAATGGGGAAGCCTTAGCAGGACCATAGTGTGTGACTATCTGTTTGGGTGGGGGGAGTTGATCGATGATAAACCTTCTGGGTGTTAATGTAGAAAATCTTGTCTTCCACAGTTGCACAGAGAAATTGAACTCAAAGATGGTGAGATTTCCCGGCTAAAGCAAGAAAACGATGAGCTCCTGGAACTGGCAGGACATGTACAGCACATGGCTAACCTGATTGAGGTGAGTGTAGTTCCACAGCTTGAATGGGAGTGCAGCTCTCTATAGCTAGTATGTGGTTTAAAATGGGCAAAGTATTGTGCGCTCCAGTTCTCCAAAGATTGTAAAGAGGAAACCGCTTAGCAGTCTGCCCTTAGTACAGCTTGTTTTTTGTCTTCAGAGCCCCTTTCCCTCCAGCTAAGATTCAGCATTGTTTAAAATACATTTGAATTCTGAGTTTTTGGGATGAACTCGGACTCCTAAGTGTCAATATCCAGTGTGACCAGTAATCTTAGTGTTGCCATAGCTAAAGTACAAATTCTTACCTGGTGTCTATGCCGGCAAACACTACATCTAGGTCAGGGCTCTGGACATCTAAATGGGTTTTAATGGAAATTATTTGACAGTTTTCTCAGGACTGAAATAATTTTGGAAAGTTTTATTGCTCAAACCACTAACTGGGCAAGGTAGCTAACAATCCTTTCTTTTTCAGAGGCTTACAGGAAGTGCACCACAAAACCTTGAAGACTTGAAAAACCTAGATTTGGAAGAAGCACGATGTGAAGATGAAGCAGAGGAGGACTTTGAAGCAGAGGAGGATTATAGTTCATCAGATGACGATGACCTTTAATTTAAACATGAAAGGATATTACTGACTTTGCAAGTGGCCACTGCATGGGCCGTGTCCCAGTTACCAAACTTGAAAACTGCCAATGGTCAGCCATACTTGTAGCTGGTTTTATGGAGCTTGTGACGCCTGGACATGTGACTCTGCTCACTCATCAGAATGCAGAGTTTTAACATGTGACTATAAAAGATTTGAAGTCCATATGGGTGCTTATTCCAGTTGGCCACTTGTCCTAATGCAAATACTATGTATTTTATTGTGCCTGTAAATAGTTTTTTAATTGAATGGCCTTGATAAAGAGGCGACTGTACATATATTTTGTCAATAAACTTCAGTTGGAGCAAAACTAAGTTTGTTCAATGCTCACAAAACCCAACCTAATGTTTTTTGAGACCATTACTTGCAAATCTATCTGGACGGACTACAGCTTAAGGCTCTATGCTTGGGTGAATATCAGATTTCAATGCTTCCAAAAAGCACTTTAATCAGTGATAACCATTAAAGGTGCCCCATGGTCTTGAACCCATAAGTGAATCATGGCTTGTAAACTCTAGTCTGAACTTGATCATATGTAGAAAGTTGTCTGCTTTAACCAGGGGGGCTCAAATGGTAACTGTCTTGCAGGTCTTATATTGTGAACCTGCCTCAGCAGAATGCTTGTGCTCGGCACTATACTGTCGGCACTACTGCTGTCGGGTCAAACGTAGAGTGCTGGGACTAGCTGGCTAAGGTCATACTACCTGCTGATTGCAGGGTTTGTCAGACCACTGTAAAGACTGATGCAGTCACACACAAGCTGTCTGCACCATGCTGCCGAGTATTGGAGGTACTTAGCTGGGGAAGGATTACAAAGCCGCGCTATCCTTTTAGTGACCAATGGTTGGAGGATTCAACTACGGTGCACATCAGTGAAATGTGGACCTACTGGCTCATCTGGGACGAGGCGAGATCTCTCCTGCCTGATGGGATCTAAATCCTCAGTATTTCCACATGCAGATCTCTTCAGAGCATTGACCTGTGTCTGGCCTAGTGTGCCTCTTTCCTGGCATTCCCATTGTTGGACCCCAAAATGATATCCTGCTCGGAGTCATGGATCCAAGTGGGAAACCTCTGGCTTAACCCTTGTAAGAGCAATCTGGTTTTTGCATGTATACTTTCAGCACTGTACAATCGGCTATAGACTGGAGTGACCAACTTGGTTTATCTGTAAATAAATCCAGGCAACTGGTACTCGCTGCAGTGATTGATTTACCGGTCATCCAACATCTTTCCATTCAGAATGGTTTGTACAAAAATTCTCAGACTAAATATGGTGACTGACCTCATGAAGGTAAGGTGAAACTGAGAAAAAAAGAGGTTGGGGGATAGTTCTCTTGAGGGTCACAGGGGAACGTTCACGAATGTCCTCCTGTGGCCCAAAACTCGGCATATAGTGAGCCATGCTGCAGCCAAGACGGATCCTGACAATATTCAGTATCTGCCTGGGTGACGGCTAGCTCTGCCTTTCTAGAGCCAGCTGTTCCCATCCCTCCCTTGTTTGTCGGTACTGGAGGAATGGCGAGTGGGGGGGTTCCTGTGAGCAACAGTAACTGCTCTGCATGGAGATCGGGACCTGAGCAATCAGCGGTATGTGATTGCGCAGTTCCTGAACAGCTGACATGTGACAGCTTCAGTGTCACTTCAGCTCTGTGTGATTCACTCCATAATTTAAGGATCCCTCTGAACTTGTCCCAGGAGCAATACCTGGTGATCCTGCCATGGAGGTCCTTGTTCAGGCAAGGCAGCCATTACAAGCTGATTAGTTCTAACAGTGATGAGTATTCAAGGCAGCTTGGACTGATGGTACAGTGGAGTTTCCTGATAAGACTTGTTATACTTGTCCTAATGTTAAACAAACTGTACATTAGTGCCGATAGGAAATCTTATGGATTGTGGAAAACATCAGTGGTACACAAGCCACGTCTTATAAACACTCAGCCATGTATGACTCATTCATTTGGGAGGCTGGCCTCTACAACACAAGTCCATTGACTTGAAATGTCACCTGTATGTAAATCTGTACTGATGAGGTGAATAGAGATAAGATGGTGCCACCTAATAGACAGGTCACATAGCAGGCACTAGATAGTGGATGTACATGTCAGGTAAACAGTGATCAGATCCTAACATTATTGGTCCTGTTAGAGTATTTAGACTCCTAAAGAATGTTATATTGTACAGTTGAGTCCTCATCTACAAATCTGTGATTCTAGCACATTTCTAAATGCAGAATTGTGTAATTCACACTTGGCGTTAAGTTGCATTCAATTTAGCTGCGTTTAAACAGAATTTGGTGTCCAGGGGCAGATTAGATAATGGAATCTAAACTCATTCATACACACTGACACTCCTACATTTAGGGTTGGGAACTACAACCTTACAGCCAAGGAAGGTGCCATCTTCGCCTCTGTGGATTGCATTTGCCATGGTGCTGCACCTCTGACCAGCTATGACATCAGCCATTCGAGGGCATGAAAGTTCAATAGAGAGCTGAAATAAGCAACCTTAATAGTTGGCATGCCTTGAAAGGAACGGTCTTGTGAGACTCGGTGGGTAAAGTTCTTCATTTACCTTTTAAGTTATTTTTGGGAGAATCTTTTCACCGGTCTTTAAAAAGTGTAGCGTGAATTGTTTGGTTACAGCTGTTTACTAAAACAAAGGGATTGAAAAGGAGTGTAATGGAATGGAAATGCATCGCACAGTCAGGTAAATGCTTTGTTTCAGTTCTTAAGCACAAGGAAATAAGACATTAACATTGGTCACAAAAGAAACAGGCAATGCAGTTGTGGCCTCTGGCTCAATGAATATCATTGCCACAGAAAGACAGGGACCCTTCATTGATAAAGGAAGTGTGACAAAGCCACCAGTGGGGCCGTATTCATGTCGTGAGGGTGGCAATGGTAAAATGCAAAACATGCAGCAGCACCTCCCCGTTGTGGATTTGTGGCAAATCAAAATTGTATTGACAAGGAATATTGCATGTAAACATAATAAAAAATAGTTGATATGTTTCTTACATTTCAAACATGACTACTCAGTCTGGGGTAAATCAAATAAAGATTTATTGATAACTTTAAGTGTGGCTATAGACATAAAAAACGTCACAGGCCTATTTCATCACTTGGGTTATGTAAACCAACCTGGTGACATCATTATGCATAGAACTTGTAAGCTTGGTGAATGGTCAATTCTTCCCATTAACATGAAGAAAGTAAATCATTTAGCACATGCATGGGTGGTACAACTATACACTGACTACCTGGACAGCATTGAGCACAGGGGTGTTTGATGCTTCTCTATCATAGGGAGACACCTGCCAATTTATAACTACCCCTAAAGTGCTAGAAAACATAGAATGTTTGATCCAGTTGGTTACACTTGGATTGGACAACAGTCCCATGTGCGTAGGCCCCTCTGAACCTGGTAGGCATTCCCAAGTCAGGCTTTCTCGGGATGAAGCACTCTGCCTTGGACTTTCTAATGTACCCCCCACCCCTAAGATAATTTGGCACCCTTTGTGGCCATGAGTTGTTAGACTTCTTAAAAGGAAATGGCTTCTTGAAGTTACCCTCATATTTGTTGCTGTATGTAGCCTCTAAAATGTTTGCCGATAAGCTGAAAATTCTCTTTACAGTTAGTTCCTCATACGGTAGTTCTTTTTTCGTTCTAGATGTGAAATGTTAATTTCTTTTCGTTTTCTGTAAATGTGAAACCACAAAACGTAACCACAGTGCCAAGGGCAATGTGCTGCTTATAATTTCGGCTATTCTAGACGTGTTCATCAATGTCTAACTCAGTGAAGAAACTGCTGTGATATGGGTTATATCACAAACACCGCATTAAAGTGTTTGTAAACAATTAACTCTTATTTTCTTATTGGTAAATATTAAAAGTAGTTCAATAAGTTAAAATACTTGTTGATCTTGCCAGAAATCTAGTGCAGTCCTATGTACACTTCAGTAGATTTTTTTTTTCACTGAGCTGCCAGTGTTTTCCTCAAAGTGATTTGGGCAGTTATAAAGCCACCCGATGATTTCTAGGTGTATCGGAGGGTGATGCCCACTCTACCATCATATTTCTGGGCTTACCTGTCCTTCCTAGGTTCCCCGGGATGTCCATGGCAGGTCTCCTAATGGAAAGCCATGGGATACCAGCTTCTATTCTCTAATCTCCCCCTGTGCAGTGGGATCTTGGAAGCACTCGGCTCTGATCACTTCCAAGTTTAGAGCTGCCAACCCCAGCGCCTCTGGGGCGGAAGCACATCAAGCACACTCTGCTGGATCTGATTCAACAGAGAAGCATTAGGGGTATAATAGATAACTGACGTCTCCTTCCACATCAAGCACACTCTGCTGGATCTGCTTCAACAGAGAAGCATTAGGGGTATAATAGATAACTGACGTCTCCTTTAATAGAACCTGTCATCGCCTCTATGCTATCACATAGGGGTCTTTTTGCCCCAATTGTGATACCAATAAAATAAAATAAAAAATATAAAGTTTAGCAAAATGAAAAACAAAATGTCAAAGCATGCGCCCCCAGAAACACATTTACAAAAATGATGATTGCGCATCCCATATTAGGTATCCTCACACATGCTGGAGTGACAGGTAAAATTCAAGGGCCATTCTTTACAGTTACCTATAAATTGATTGAAGCTGTAAAGGATTTTAAAGCGCCGCCTGTGTACAAATGTGGGTATCGGAGTTTGTTGCGATGTTGTGGGTGCACGCAATTTTAAGGCTTGACATGTTTGGGATCTTTTTATGTGACCTTTTCTTTTCCATTTTACAAATAATGGGGATGATATTGTGTTTGTTTGCACTGAAATATGAGCGTACAATATAGAATCGATATCGTGCAACATATCATAATCATTATTAGTATACAGTAAGCTGATAAGAAAGCTGCGACCTGGACTTTGTAGTCAAATCGTATATGTTCACCCAATATTTCCATTAGCGCTGAACAACAAATGCATTGTAACACAACATGACAGTATTTCAAAAATATTCTTTATTGTAACTTCTGCACAATGTAAAATAGGCTTAGTACAAATACTGCAGATCTAAAAAGGCACAATAGCACAGGTCAGTCCAGAGGAG